TGTTGGTCACATGGCTTGCAGGACCTTGACAAAAGCACACACACACACAGCCTCCTGCTTTCTGTTTCTCAGAAGTTTTGATAGGTGTGCAATATCCTGTGTGTTGAGGTTTTACGCAGAAGTAACCTCATGTGTCGCACACATACATTCTTTTGCAGCTCTCAGACACTAAACGGCTAAACACATTGTAAACATGTGCTCAGCTGATGCAGTTGCGAGTACAAGTGTAAATGCGTTCTGTCCACAAATGCTTTGTTTTTTGTGACCAACATGTGAAATAACCTGTTATTTTGCTTCACAGTTGACTCATATGTGTGGCTTGCAGAGTGTGGTTTATACAGATAGCATGCAAAACTGTCTAAATTCATAGCAACAAACATGCCAGAAAGATCTAGCACTCTTAAAATAAACACATACATACAAATACATTGTAAAAAGGATATTTCAATCAAAAATGTAAAAAAAACTCAACCGTTGTCACCTTCATGTCATTCCAGCTGCAGAAACTTTTTAATTAGGTTGTACAGTAATTGTCAAATTATTTTGATGCTCTCTGTGTGTCAGCTGGCTCAAACCAGATGAGTATATTGGCCTTAATGAGTCTACTTCACTTAGTTATTTTTATAGACTTGAGAACCGAATGGTCTTGGGGGAGGAGTTGTAATTTTCAGTGGTATTCTTGGTATTGCTCAGAGGACAGGATACAAGTTTACTTCTTTTAAAGTGTTAGTGATTAAAGTGAGATACAGTAAAAGTAAAACAATTCTTATATTGCAAACACTCAAATGTTCAGAATATGTGTAGAATCTTATTCAATCATGACACCTTTCAAAATAGTAAGAGCAAATACAGAGACTTGCTACTGCCAATACATCCACAGACATGCTGCTGTGAGCAAAACAAGACACACTAGACACACTTATTCAAAGCAGACTTATACAGGTGGAGCTGGGGGAGGTGGAAGGTTTCTGAAAGCGCGCTGCAAGACTTTCAGGGGGGTTACAGCAAATACAGAACCAAACTGTGCCATCTAGAGTTTCATGACTGGACTAGATATGTGCAGAGCAGTGTGTCTCTAATCTAGAATCTGTCACGGTTCATGGGTTCACTGACTCATTTTAGCTCTGTGTATGTGTGTGTGAGTGGGTGTGTCGGTGATTGCTGCTGACTGTTGATCTGCGCCAGCTGTAGCTCATCAGCTCAGCTATATAACACCTGTGCTATCCGTCCTGTGTTGTCAGATCGTTTGGTGTTCCCGCTGTGTTCAGTTCTCTGTTCCTGTCCTTCGTCTCATTGGATTTCGGTTCCAGGATTCGCCCCCAAGGATCGTATGTTCCCGGGATATCCACGGGTGCCCATTTGCGTCCCTGCGCTACCAAGAGTGACTATATCCTGCACATGCCTTGTTTGACTCTTGCCTTTGGTCTGGTTGGGACTTTTTCCTAATAAACTGTTATATTTCACATTCGC